CATAGGACTTTATCATTTAAAGAAAAATGACTAAATTATTGTAGTTTAAAGAAAATTACTAAACTACTGTAGTAAGACCAATATGGGGGCGGGGGAGGAATGCCACTCTCTTTTGAAGTTCTGGGATCAAGGTGTTCCTGCACACAAATTGTTACAGCTTATAGTTACTTTTTAAAAATATCACAATTAAATACTATAGCTGAGTTGGGACAGTGGTGTATCATTACCCAGACTGAAGTTTGTACAATGTAACTATACTATTCCAAGCTTTCCTGAAGAAAATACTACTGTTTTAAAGATTGCCACTTAGTATATACTGTGTAAAAGTATATTCAGTCAGAGAAGATGCCACTCAAAAGATGGAAAATGACACTTAAAAACAAAATCTCAGGGTGGGAGGGATAGCTCAGCATTAAGAGCACTTGCTGCTCTTGCAAAGAACACAGGTTCAGTTCCCAGCAACCACATGAGGGTTCACAAGCATTGGTAACTCAAGTTCCAGGGCGTAAGACTGAAGTATCCTCATAATATGACCAATGTATACAACCATAGGACTAAATGCTAACATTAAACTGCCAAGGCTATGCTCTCAGGGTTCATTTCTATAGCTCATTACTGATTCTAATGTGTTACACATACTCTCTGTACAGGCAGGTTTCCAAAAAAAAAAAAAAAAACTGCCAAGAAAGCGGTATATTAAATGCTAAACTTCATAGAAGTAAGCCAGATGCTTAAATGCATAAGTGGCTAAAATTTTCTTTACAGAACTGTTCTAATCAATTCACATTTTAGTGAAAATAATCTTATATTGCAAACAGCACAGCACCCTCTGGTGTATCCATTATAAGATATATAAAATTCCCACAAGTAAAAGGATAAAATCATAAGTCAAAAATAAACCTTAGCGATCAATAGGGTGATACTTTCTGAATTTCTTCAGGTACATATATTTAACATGTTTAAATAAAAAAAATTTTCACTTTTAAATTATCACTATAAAATTTGTAGCAATTGTGGTCAGAAAATTTGTTTTAGTTTTAAAATACTGAACCAACCAAAATAATACATTTTTTCAATTATATAACTTAAATTAAGATAATGCTATCAATACGATTCTCGAAGGAATGGCAAAATTTTAATGGTTATGTAAGCTAAATTTCATTTTACTCAAACCCCCCTGTTTTTTGCTATAGATAAATTTGACTTGAAAATATAAACTGTTGCTATATATTTTTCTGAATTCAAAGTCAGTTTATCATTATTTATAAGGATGGATAGATAGAAAGGTGTTAAGCAAATAAATCTATGATTTCCACAGTTTGAAAATACAGTAATACAAATAAAAGCTAATGAGTTCGGTTACAAATCTAGAGCACTTCAAAGACTAGTAGTGCTCAATTTTTACATATAAAAAGAACCCTCTCCCTGAGAAAATAATTAACTAAAGCATGATATAACAAACTCCACATGAGGCCACCTGCTTTGGACAGCCCTTTGTGGCCCACTGCAAGTTCCACAACAATGCAGGAAAAAGTGAGACTGCCACCTGCTTACAGCAGCCATCTGCCTCTAACAAGTTACATTTAGTCATATCCACTTCATCCTGGTTTCCAAACTAAGGGAACACTATGCACCTGTGAACAGAAAAGAATTTAACACCTATTTTGTGATGACAACTGGGAATACATACCTAAAGATTTAAAGAGCTAAGGCAAATAATTCAGTAAGGAAAATTATTTTTAATGTAACTGCAAGTGAGTAAAGAATATTTAGCCAAATGCTCAGCATAAAAACAAATTAGCAAACTTCATAATATAAAACGACTTATTTCTTATTCTCATTTCTTGTCATATATTCTCATCATGAGGATCACAAAGTCACAGTGCTACTAGAGTATTCAGGAAAAAAAATTAACTATTCCCACATATCTGTTACTATGATCCATCCTTTTACGCATGTATGACATGAAAATTTTTACTATTCAGTGTTAAAAAAAGAAGTGCCCCAATTAACTTAGAGTTTTTTGTTTTTTGTTTTTTAAAGATTGTTTGAGTAAAGTTAAAGAATATCTCACTATCTCACTTATAAACTATAAAGTTTGTGAGTACCTCCATAAAATACAAGAGTATTTGAATACTGGATTAAAAATACAGTATTTTAGAAATTAGGCGTAAATACCTCATGCCAAGAAAGCAGTGTGAAATGACAGAAAGTTTCTAGGAATGCATTAATTTATTAGACATATATAAATGCACTATGCCTATTCCCTATACAATTTAACAGAACTGTATAATAGATAAGGTTTAATTAAAAACGACTGAGATAGACATTGTGGCACACTCTGAATCACACTCAGCTACTCAAAATGTTACTATTTAATATGTTTAGTTTCAAAGTATGATCATTTTCACAGATTTGTTAGTCCAAAAAACTGAAAACAAAGAATGCCAATGCATAGTATACTCTCTCCTAGGAAAATACTGTGGAAAAAAAAATTGAACTAAATGTTATTTAACTTTGTATCTAATTTTAAAGATCAATTATTAAATTCTAAGTTAACCAATCCATAAAACTAATTTTATCTTATCAGAAGCCAAAGTATCTCTAATATCAACTCTCAGATCACAAAGAGTTGTTTCAAATGGACAGGCTATTTAATATAATCCAAAACTAAATCTGGGGAAAACTGACACATACTTGATGAGTGAAATGTCTCTGAAACATTCTTGGACATTGCAAATAAAAATATTAAGCAAAGACATTTTAGCATATACAATCTATTTAGCTGAAACTTATATAAATGGCATCAGATCTAAAACTGTCCCAAGACAGCAAAAGTCTTTTTAAGTTCAGACCCAGGAGCTTCACCATCCAAAAGTGTTCAGACATTTGACACTCATCTGAACAGGAGGTGGGGGGAAAAGGAAAAAGAAGAAAGAAAAGGAAAGGAAAAAAAATACAAGTTAGTATTTGAGATGTGCATGGAAGACAGGTTGGAGAAGGGATGAGTAACTATTGAGAGATCCAAACAGACTTCTTTCATAATCGAATATCACCTTCATTTAAAATAACAATCATACGGAAATGAATTAAAAAGTACGTTTTTTTTCAACCACCCCAACTCTTATTTTACAAAATATTAGCCTTAATGGCATTATAATTACCCAAACTCTTCATTGACAATCTCAAGAATAATTAATACTGTCACATTATTCACAGGCTTCTCTGTCAGTTAAATCAATAAATGTTTGCTGTTAAAAAGGTTATTTAAATTAGCACTTTAAAAATCTGAATTGGAAATTTCATATGTGCAACTATAATAGTACATTTTATTTGTTTTAGCTCATAGTCATTATCAAATTTTTTTGTTGTTGATAAACTATTGATTGTTAGGCTGAAAATGAGCAAAATTAAAGGATCTGTAAAACCCGGTTAGCTTCAATCAAGATGACACTACTTAAGAACTGGTAAGTATTCAGATCTACAGGGGCAACTATTTTCTCCAAAGAAATATTTTAAAAGGAAGTTTTTTCTTCTGAGCAGGTTTAAATCGTTGTCCAAAGAAAACCAGAAAGTCAACAAAAAGAATATGTTAAGTACATACATGCCTAGATCTTAACAGCCACAAAGAAAGTGAAATATACACACGTTTCAAGTTGAGAAGCTTCATACATTCTTTATGAACAACTTGACTTCAATTTCAACTCTCCAAGGGAAAGGAACAGAGATGAAGATGGGAGGGAAAAAAACTCTCAAAGTATCATAACTGTCACAAACAGCGTTGTGAACTGAGTTCTCACAAAGCTTCCTTGTGTCCCTTCCCTGTGCATCACAGACAAAGTCTCAAAACCACAATGAAAATTGTTAACACTCTCCTGTGGGGAGGGAGGTGCATCAAAGTGAAACAGAACCTCAGGACTACCCCTCCCATCTCCACATGAAGGATAAAGCGCTGTCAGGAACCACTAACCCAAGTAGCACAGATGCCCTGCATCCGGTTTAAATCACAAGCGCGCGCACACACGCACACACGCGCACACACACACACACACACACACACACACACACGCCGAAAAGGGGAAGGGGGAGAAAGAGAGTGAGAGAGAGAGAGAGAGAGAGAGAGAGAGAGAGAGAGAGAAGAGAGAGGAGAGACAGAGAGAGGGAAGAGGAGAGGGCAGAGAGACAGAGAGACTTAAAAAAAAATCTCTCAGAGCAGCAGAGGCCCCTGGTTTCAATGTGTGTGCAAAGGGGGGAGGGGGGAGGGAAGACTGCTGAATGGATATTAAGACTGTTTGCAGCACAAAGAAAAATACAGTTTTAAAAGAAGAAAAGAAGCCCGTGAGGCCGGTGATGGTCAAAGAAGTGCAGCCCGTTTAGCGGCAGGCAAAGAGGGGCCAAAAGGAAAGGAGCGGGCTGCGGGAAAAGTTCACCGAGCTACGAGGATAAAAATAACAAAACCCCCCAACAAGGCCCCGCAAGTGAACAACAACAACAACAGCACAGCACCTTTTGGGGTCGTCCCCCCCCCCCGCCCTGCTCACTGCTGTCTATTTCGATTTGGACAGCAGCAGCCACCAGGCAGCTTTGCAAAGCAGCGAATTAAAGAAAGAGCGAGGGAGAAAGCAAGCCCCTTCTTCTCTCCACCTGCCCCTCCTCCGGAGTGCCCGCAGACCTGGGGGGGGACGCTCCAACACCCGCGACGGACAGCGGCGCCTTCCTAGCCTAGCCCGCTCGCCCCGCAGCCCCGGCTCCCGCTCCATCCCAGAGCGCCGAGGCCGGCCGGCCGGGCGGGCGGGCGGGCGGGCGGGCGCGCGGAGCCCACACCCCCGAGCCCGCCGCGCGCGGGTCCATTGTAAACAAGCCCCGGGGACCGAGCCCCTCAAGCGGCCGCAGCCGGTGTCAGGAGGGAGACCCCGCCACAGGCACGCTCGCTCGCACCCACGAACACACGCACGGACACACACGCTCCCACACACATGTAGAGACCGAAGAATATTCACCTTGGCTGTGGATTATTGTGGTGTTGTTGGTGGGTGATGGAGATGGTGGTGGTGGGGAGGAGGAGGAGGAGGAAGAGGAGGAGGAGGAGGAGGAGGAGGAGAGGAGTAGTTGTTGTTGATGGGTAACAGTCGCCAGGACTACGGTGACTATGGCGCTTGATTCACAAGGCAACGGTTGCTATAACTCACAAAAGAGAGAGAGAGGGAGAGAGAGAGAGGGAGCGAGGGAGAGGGAGACACTCGCGCGGGGAGGGGCGGGGGAGGGAGGAGGGGAGAGGGCGGGCCCGAGAGCGCCGGAAGAAGCGGGTTCGGCGCCGTGACTGACAGCTCGGAGCCCGGGCGGGGGCCGCGGTCGGGATTCCGACGTCGGGTCCCCGAGGTACGCTTAGACTTGGCGGGCCCGGGGTCAGTGCGAGTCAGGCTCGAGGAACGCTAGTGCGGACGCCGGGAAGCCGGGGAAAGCCGAGGCGCTAGGGGCGAAGGCTACGCTCCGGGAAACGAGCCCCGCCTGCCTCTGCAGCCAGCCCAGCGCCCAGCAGCCCCGCAGCCCCGCGAGGGAAACCGCGAAGCCAGGGAGGGGGAGTGACGACGGCCCCAACACGGTGTGAGACGCGCGCTACTGCGGGGGCAGACCCCACTTTGAAGCGCGGGCTCCGCCCCTGCCCGACGTCATTTCCGGGGCGGGCCCGGAGAAGGGCCCGGATGTGCTACGCTCCGCCCCCTTCCCCCCCCCACCTCCAGATTTTTTTTTTTTTTTTTTTTTTCCTCTCCACCCCCCCTCCTCTCCGAGATCGCCGGTGGTGTTCCCCGGTCGTTTTTGCCTCGCCAGACTCTGCGGCCGGCGCGGGCCTCCGGAGTCTTGGCCGTGCTCTCCCCTCCACCGGCCTCGCGCTCGCCTTCTCGCGCCTCCTGAGGCCGCAGCTCCGGGAGCGCGGGCGGCGGGGCGTGAGCGGTGCCTTCGCCGCCATCTTAGGGAGCGAGAGCCTGGGTGCGCGAACCGTTTGGCCCGTCCGGCTCGACGCGGCGGAGCCCTCCTTGCGAACCGAGAGGCCAAGTTATCACCCTGCAGGACCGGGAGGAAGTGCTGAGGAGAAGGGGATTTGTGCTTCCCGGGCATTGAGGGTCCATACGGGGGTGGGCTCGACCTCCGGGAGAAACGCTTGGGTAACCCTTAAGATGCTCAACCCCCCGTCAAGAGTTGACGGGATGGATTGGAGCTAGACCCCGTACCCTATTGCTGGTATCAGGTTGCTTTACAGCCTCGGCTAAGGGTCCTGAGCTGTGTCTGACCGTTTTTTGAGACAGGAATGGCTCCCGTCCATGAAGAACATTATTAACACACAACCTGGTACCTCCAACTACGGTTGATAAGGCACAGCCTCTAATACCTCCTGGTTCAAGCTTATTCGTCCAATTCTCCTCACACTGGAGTCCAGCAGGCACGTGCCCTCGGGTTTCGCCAATACCCCAAAGCTCCAACATTTGCAGCTAAGCAGCTTATCCAAGACAATAACATATTGGAAGTAGAGCCTTAAGAAGTCAGTTCTCTTGAGGCTTAATTTTTGCACCTGCAAATAAGGGATTTGGGCCGGCATGAGTTCACTGTTAAAATAAGACTGAGCTCTTTTTCTGTGCCCCAGACCTTGTGCTAAGTGTTTTACATACATCATCTCATTTAATCCTGACACCTGTTTTATTGGATACATAATATTCTCATTTTAGGGAAAACGAGCCGTCATTTTTATCTTGCCTCTCTGTGCCATGAAATACTAGGTAAAGACATTCTAGGAACCAACTATTAGAACAATAGATTTAAGGGTAATACTGAAGGCTTTGATAGTTTCGTAATGATTTGTAGTCTTGATTGTAAGTTACGATACAGTAGTTAACAGTGAAAACCATCATGGGCTAAAGTTAAAAGAGGCCATGATCCACTGTGGTGGTGGACAAAAATGACGCCATGATGACTAACAGCAGTTAAAACTCTTCACATTTAGAATGCTCCTTTTGCAACATTTACAGCTCAAGTCCTCTGCTAGGGTGCTGGTTAGGACTGCTGGATGACACTCCCAGGCTCTGAACAGCTTTGCTGCTGCAGCCCTATTGTCTGCTAGTGTGCCTGTTTCCCCACTCAGCTGTTGCTTCTCACTGCTCTCTGTGAGCAGAGTTCTGTTATCCTCCCCACCCTTTTAATTTACTGCTTTTAATCTTCACGAAAGGAAACCACATAATGAAGCTTCTGCAAAACTGTCTCAAGGGTATAAATAGATACTTTGAGGCAGTGTCCTTTAGGAAAAGTGTGACCTTTGCGCTCAGAACATTGTAACATCAGTTTCAGGCAATTTAGGGACTTCTTTATTCCTAGCTTCTGGTACCATCATTTTACTTTCAGAATGCATACTTTTATTTACATGAATTCTTACAGTTAGGATATTTTTCCTTTTATAAGAATTAGATGTATGTCTTCTAATTGTAGTAAGGTTAAAATTTAATTTCAGTGTTACCATTATACTAGCTCAAATAGCCAAGCTACAATGCAAGCTATAGAATTCAAAACATAGACTGATAGATTATATGTTTGTATACATGTATATATATGTGTGTGTGTATATATTGTGTTACACAATATATACACACACACATTAAGCAAATCCTTTTGCTTCTCAATAGTCAGTTCTGACAGGAACTCTTTTCAGATCATCTTTAAAGCTGTGTGGTTGTATCTTCGTATGTATCATACATATATTTCAGAAATAACTTGTTAGGGAGTCTTAGGAAAGACCCAGCAGAACTTTAACAACTATTGCTTTTATAATGAAAAATATAATCTGAGCTCAAGAAAGGTATCTTACATTCCTTGACATTTCAATAAACTATCAATACAACATTTTTTTTTCTGAATTCTAAATATGAGGCAGGCATACCTCCTGTGCGTACAATTCGAAGTTAGTTTTTTTGTGAATTTTAATCGTTGTTTTCTTTGAACTTTGTTTCTGCTCTAAGACTGTAGTGACTGGGAGAGCCATGGGCAAACACAGTTGTGTCTGAAACACTTGAGGAAAAGCAACTTGATTCCCTCTGTCTATACTTTACCAAGTGCTATAGCATATCCTTAAAGGTAAACTTCCCTTTCAGCATCATCTGCTAGGATATTTTCTCCTATGGACTCCTACTGCATATTCAAGAACTAATAGAGAACTTCAATATTAATTCGAGAGAAAGAGAAAAATGTGTATGCAAAGATAAACTACTGATATGCCATGGCATTTCTTCCAAAAAATTGTGTAGGAGAGTTTTGAAAATATATGCTGTAGCAGCTTACCATTAAAATAGTAGTAAATCCTTTGTAAAGCAGAAATCACACCTGTTTTAAAATCTTCCATTTGACTTCCTGTTCTCTTCAGTTGAGACACACAACAGAATCTTGATCTCATATGTGACATAAATGTTTCCTTTTTGCTATATGGGGTTCAAGCTGCTAGTGAGTCTAGATTACTGAGTGACTTTTCTGAATCTGGAATTCTGTGGATCTGTGATAATTACCAACAATGACAAGAGTGATATAAGTCGAAGATACTCAAACACTACACAGTGGCTTACAGTCCTCAAGCACCAAAGCGAATAAATACGGACATAATTTCTAACTATCTCCCGGAGCACCCCACAGAAAACATGCTTTGATTTAGAAAACAGTGCAGTAACTATCTATTTTGGTCAATTCATCTTTCTAATTGTGTTTTCATTAAATTCTACAAATCAGCTGATTATTCAGCCAGCCTGAAGTCTGTCTATTATATAAGTATATCATGAAATTAGACTTTCACTCCAGTGCATAAAGATGATAATAGAATCGTGAATTGACTACCATTGCTCAAGACCAAGTAAAATTTATATATGCATACAGCTCTTCAATTAATTCAGAACATCAAGTACAGTATTTGCACCATTAAACCCAAATATCTGGAAACAATCCAAATGTCAGATGTCTATCAGCTAAAGGATGCATAAACAAATTGTGATAGAGTCACACATTGTAATGCAACTGAACAGTTGAAAAGACTATTGATACACAAAACAACACGAATACATCTCAGAATCATTATGTCCAACAAAAGAGGCCGAGTGCAAATGTGCATATTGACTTAGATGAAGTCCAAGTTCAAGGAAACCCGACATTTTCCTGTGATGGGCAGTGGCCACAGAGTGGGATTCACTGACAGAGCCAGTGAGAACTTCTAAGGTGACAGGAGTGTCCCACACTCTCCCGAGTTGTTTGCTACTAGCCATGTGCTATTAAAATTTAATTGTAAATTAATTTCATGAAAAATTCATACAGCCATATTTTAAGTTCTCAGAAACCACATGTGGCGATAGCAACTAAATTGGACAATATACACACATTTGTAGTGTTTCAAAATTTCTATGGAAGGATGCTGCTGTTCCTTTTGTCTTAATGTGTATATAAATGTTTATATTGCGATTAACAAATATTATGTGTTGATTTTTACCTACCCCCAAATCCCCAAAAATCATTCATTAGCCAAATTTTTAATACATTACCAATTTGATTAGCCCACTTTTTCATTGTTTTTAGTTCAGTTCAGAGAACAAATAAGAAAATTATCCCTGGCAATTTTTTTTTCAAAGATGTAGGCATGCTATGAAGTAGATGATGTTGATTCGCTGCTCAAAGAGATCCATTCTGTCACTTTAAAACCCTCAGTATCTCAAGAAAAAAGGAAACACTTTTGTGGACTCAAAGTGCACTCTAGAATACTTCAAAGAAATGTTTCCTACCGCCCTCTTGGAACCTTGGTATATGGAAAGGTGATAAATACCACATAACCTTGTGAGGTAACACAGAAGAACTTGAGAAAGCAGGTACTCTGACCACACTGTAAAAGTCAAGCAAGCTCTCTAGATCTCTTTTAAGATTCAAAGGAGGCCAGCAAAATGGCTCAGTGGGTAAAAGCACTTGTTGCCAATCCTGATGACTTGAGTTTGATCCCCAGCCCTCAAATGGTAGAAAAAAAGAACCAACCATTCCAAATTGTCCTTAGATCTCCACACATAGGCTGTGGTACTCATGTACCCCGCCCCCTCCACTGCCACACACACACACACACACACACACACACACACACACACACACACACACATACACACACACACCACACACGTAAAAAATAAAATTAAAAAATCAAGGACTTCTGGAATGGAAGGAAATCAAATTTGCATCACGGATCAAAGATCTCTAATCTC